GTGAAACGGAAACTAATGCGATGAAAACTCACATTCGGACAAAAAGTCTCATCTCTTCATTTATATCTCGAAATCATTTATTAAATATTTTAATTACAAACCATTTATATCTTTCGTGTAATTTATTCTTTGATTTACGTGCTATATTTTTATATACTTAATATTTCTGGATAAATATAATCCATTTTTTTTTCATTTTTTTTTTCTTTTGTTTTTTAAATAAAAGCGTTTCAATTTCCCGTGGAACTCGGATTTTGATTGATAATGTCGATAGCATTATCATTACTTGCGATTAAAAAGATGTTTCTTTTCAATACAAAAATTGAATGAAATAAAATGATATAAAATGAAATAAAAAAAAAAAGAATGAAAAAAAAGAGAACAAAACGATCACGTCGCATGTATGCAAAATTTTCAGAGAGAAATTCGATATTTTTCATGCATGATCTTTTCGACACAGATGACGCATGCGCAATTCCGCCTTCGCATCTCGGGGGATCCTTTTTACTTTTACATGATTTCACTTTCGAAGTGTGCCGCGCAACTATTTAATTTCATTTTATTTTATATTTTTCTTTCTTCTCTTTTCCTTTATCTTTTGGTTTTTTGTTTTTGTTTTTACTGTATCGCTCGTGTCGCTGTATTCCAAATATGTACAATTCCAATAACTCAATTACCGCAATACTAGTACAGTAGTAAAATAGAAAAATGGTGAGTCCATATTATTAATATGTAAATTCAATAAAGTTATATATATATATATATATATATATATATATATAACTTACACGATACATATGTGTGTGTGTATCTTTTTTTATTTTTTTTAAATTTATTTTATTTTATTTTTTTCTCTACATTTTTGCTAGAAAAATTAAATAAAACACTCAGAACATCAAATACGATAGCGAATAAAGTTTGTATGGCTATTTCTTTATAAATATTTAATTTGATATCAAAGCATTCTAGTGAATTATGTATTTGAACACGTAAATGTAAATATGGACAAATGCATAGGTACGATGGGCTTCTTTAAATTGAGTGAATTTCTGTTATTCTTTGACTATTAAAATATTGACTTTTAAATAAATGGATGTGTAGTACGAGGTTACGCGATGTACATTGATAGGTAAGACGGTAAGAAAAATTGGCCTTCACAATAATCAGTCTCATATTGAAAAAGAATTTAAGGGCATTTACAGATAGATGGAGAAAAATAATAATAATTTAGTATAAAACTAGAGAATTATCTCTTTGTTCTGTATTAAACAATGAGTTTATTTTAGGTCGAAGCATAAAATCTCGCGTAATTTTTAAATAAAGTGTCGCGTACATTTAATAATATATTTTTATTACTGGAATGTTTTCATAGATTTTTTATGATTATAAAGAAGTTAAAGATAAAAACTATAGAAAAAGAAAATATACTTCAAGGAAATTTGTCTCATGAATAGGTAGATAATTTTTATTTATATGCGATCTGATAAAAGTATAAGCGTAATTTTTTTGTTGAGTTTTTAAGTTCAAAACCGGCCGAGTACTGTAAACCAATGTACCTGAAAATTTATTTTACAAGTTTCATCGTAACATCTAGTTTGATTTATTCAATGCTATTAAAAATATTATTTAAGCCTGCAGCAGAATTGTAAAATATTTTGCAACAATTATCTAGATAGCGTAATGATAAAATATGTATAATGGAGCGTGAAAGAGAAATAGGAAATTTATGAATAAAATAACATTTCTAGCAGAGGCTAAAAGCTCTCTTGCAATAAATTATTCGTTTATCACGAGGAGAAAAATAACGATAGTCGAAGAATTATTTTATTAAATAACCGTCGAATAACATGACTTAGAGCTGAGTAAGCATGAAATTGTAGTGAGATTTGAAATTGCTATTATCTTGGTAAGTTCAGCAAGTCGATCAATGAATTTTATAAAACGTGTATTTGTGGTGGTATTGGATGACGTTATAAAGTCGCGCTTACATCGCTAAAACGCGTACGCGCCATTTAACGTAGATGATCGATCGATCGTTCTATCGATCGTATCATAGAAATCGTCGCTTGGGCATTCCACTGGAGAAAAGTTTGTCATTCAAAGATTTTACAAGATTTTAACGGCGGCAATGGGAGCGGCGGGTGGAGGAGCCGAAGGGGACGGGAGTGGAGGATAATGGCGCATCTCCATGATGATGCATGAAAGTGGAAAAGTCGAGCGTGTTGGGGCGAATACGAGCGGTTACGATGCCTTAGCAATAGACGACAGAGTGAATCATGTGACATTCAGAAAAGTGCACATCAATTATTCAGAAAAAAATATGACATTCAAAGATGTAGACAGACACTCGAAATTGATTCGATGTTTTTCATTTGCTGTTGCGCATCAACTTGAAGGAGTGCGTATGTGCGTAAATTGACAGCGAGCCGAGTAGGAGCGAGAGAAAAGTGGTTCCCCGCTAATACATGAGTGATAAGTATGAAAGCCTCTCTGTCTACTTGACTCAGTGATTGGTTTATTAACAACTAGATTTATTTTAAAACGCATCTTTGGTTCTTCTTTTATTTTATTTACAGTCTTGTTAAAAAGTTATGAAACGCCTCGTCGATTTTTCACAAACACGCGCACACGCACACGCACACGCGCGTAAATACAGAGAGCGTTGACTAGAAATTATTATCTATTGAATAACGAGTCGCTAGTGGCTTATCGATGAAGAAAATTTATCCAGAGAGGCTGAACAATTGCGACGTTAATTATATATTTCTGGTCAATTAACATAAGACCACCGCCACAATTGTAGATTAAAGTCGATAATTATTTAATTTGAAAATATCCCCCCTGCCCGCCCATCCACACCGTCTAAATAATTTCCGTATATTGACTATTGATGCATAATTTACAAAATAAGAAGAATTTCATTTCTATAGAGTTCTTATGGACAGATCGTTTCATCATTTTCTAACTTACGAACACATTATTTATAAAACAGTACAACCGATAAGGTATATTCTCTTCTTAATAAAGCACAGTCGCTATTGAAATTATACTAATTACCGGCAAAACATTATCTAATTGTTACTTTAAACTTATCGATCTCAAATTAAAAAGAAAAAAAGAAAAAAAGTAAAAAAGAAGAAAAAAAAAAAAGAAGAAGAAGACTTTTGATCTTATGCTTATTAGCTTATTTTATTATGCTTATTATGCTCTATTTATGCTTATTAGCGATTGTTTACATTTTCGTATGAGCTCTTGCAAGATTATGTAGCTGTTTGTAGGAACTAGTAGTGACAATTTACTTTCAAATATATAATTAAGTATGCCGTACGCCAAAGTGGCATTTTAGTTTGTTACTAGCCGTGTCAATAGAAATTTTTATTCATTCAAACCGGATCCTAAAATATTGTACGTCCATATTCGAATGATAATTCGAAGCTTACAAATGTCCTTGCAATTTATAATTAAAACCTACTCGTAACGTATTAATTGTGATTATTGTATGCAATTATATAGATAGTAATCGTTTGGAAACGTGTCTGCTTATTAAAAATTATAATTCTCTCGCTTATTAAATGAAGTTTCGAGAACCAAGGCTGAATGCATGTGATCGCTAATAGTTAATTAATATCTTTCATTGTATTTGTTCGATACAGCACAGGCGACGTATTTTCACATACAAAAATCATTCAACCCTATTTATCAATATAATAATAAGTATCGCAATTTAAAGACATTCTTTCTAATTCTCATTTCATTGGTGATTTATCATTTGCTTTTAATTTCACCGTTTCCGTTTTGCGCCGAGATTTACTCTGTTATTACCTGACAATAATGACTATTCCAAGTTTTTCAAAAGCATCGCTTACAAGACGACGTAAATTATCCATTTTTCTCCCAAACTTTATTCAGCACGCACAGAAAGGGTACACAAGGACTCTTAAAGTATCAATCAACGTCCCAACTACACTAATCGCTTACTTCCGCGAGCGCACGTTTCGATAGAGTGCCGAATACGTGAAAAGTCGCTCGGTAAGTTGAACTTGTACGTAAATTGCAGTACTAACCCGGTCCCAGCCATTATCCTCTCTCTTTATTCATTAATCTTATTCAGTAATGACTACGCAATTTCGCGCACCTACCGGCAATACATTTCCATAAGTAATGCTTAAATAATATATATCTCACTTTCAAAGATGCACGCCTGCTGTATCTTGCACCATCCGACTCGCTCATGCCTCGCGCGGTTGTCTATTTGCAGGCGCGCTCCGCTCCCTGGCGCGTGAAAGCGGAATATCAGGCGAACGAGGAAATTCGTATTTATAATCCAATGGTGGAAGGAGCCCGGAGCGGAGGCCGATATATCAAGCGATGGAGAGGACGAGGGACAGAGAGAGAGAGAGAGAGAGAGAGAGAGAGAGAGGAAGAGAGGAAGAGGAAGAGGAAGAGGTGGATAGGATAATACGTAAACCGCTCCTCCGAGTGCTCGAAGCGGAGGCCTTTGAGGTTTCAACGATTCAATTCCGCCTCCGCTTCTTTCGCCTCATTCTCAATTCGCGAAATCAAAAATCGTCCCTCTCCCATCACCCTCCTCCTCCCTCCGATGTCACCACGATTTCGCGCATTAACGAGCTTCTCTTGCCTCCACGCTTTATTATCGGCAGTCACTTAACCGAGAACTGGAGCCTTTGGCGTTTATAACAGTGCGCTTTCTTGCGCTCACGCATACGCGCAAAACTCCCCCCGTCCACAACCCTCGTCAACGTCCCAACCACCAATAATCCCGCACGCTTCCGCAAGTTCCTCTCTTCTTCTTCTTCTTCTTCTTCTTCTTCTTCTTCTTCTTCTTCTTCTTCTTCTTCTTTATCTGTTTCTTCTGCTGTTGTTCTTTTCTAAGCGGAATGATTGAATCCAGGCGAACGCACGAAAATTCATCACATCAAGAGGTAAGCGTGATAAGGCCGAAGGGCTCTAGGGCAAATGAGAAAAGAGAAACTTGCGTGTACTATTTCCTCCACTTCAATGTATAATCTTATAGCGTAGCTGTAATACGGGAACTGCGAGACAATCGTCACCGGGGCAGAGAATGCACAAGGTCCTTGGCAAACGGAAACGACGTCTGCTCGTTCGAGCCCTAACAAATGTTCGAGTTCGGTACTTCCGCCCTTAAAGTTGCGCTGGCCGTTACGCAATCCCGAGGAGTCTCGTGCCATCTTCTCCATCGCGAGTCTACTCGCCACTACCAATGTCCTACTTACGTGGCAGAGGGCCGGTGAACTAGGCTTAGATGAAACCACCTAGGGCGTCGTAGAACTCTTGGAGGTAGGCCAGGAGCTGGGGCATGGAGGGCCGGTCGCGGGCCGGGCCCAGCCAGCAGACGGCCATTACAGCGAAGAGCTCGTCGGGGCAGGGTCGGGGCTGGGAGAGTCGGTAGCCGTCGCGCAGGTAGATCATCAGCTCGAACGGGTTGACCTCGACGTAAGGCTGCTGACCCATCGTCGCCAGCTCCCACAGGAACACTCCGAACGACCACTGCACATGCACGACGAAGAAATTTGTGTAGGTTTGAGCGAGGATGTGTGGCGGACGCCGATCGAAAGAGCTTGGCGGTGCACGACATGCTGAAGCGAAGCTTCAATCCGTTCGCGTGCTGAGCTTTTTCATCATTACGTCCGTTTGCAACCTGCCTTGCTTATTAGTGTTCTTATCTTGTTTAACTGGTTAATGTTGTTGTAAATGTTGTTTGTTAGTGTATGGTGATTGGAACGGAATGCTTTACGCTTGGTAAAGCTCACAAATCGATTAGCCGGTCAATCAAAGAATCATGTGTTTCGAAAGGATGTATGTCGAAATGTTCGTGCGCGCGCGCTCGCGCGTGTGTGTGAGGGAGAGAGAGAGAGAGAGAGAGAGAGAGAGAGAGATTTGTTTTGAACTTTGGTAGCTAAAATAGCCAATATAAGCATACATATACAACGTAAAGCGTACATTTGCCAAACAGCCGATTGCGGGCTCAATATTTCTCTATTATTTTCTTGTACTACGAATGTACTTTTGTTCAGTATCGTTGAAGCGATTGATTGAGATGCACTAGATGTATCACTCCTCCCTACTTTCTTCTTTCCGTCCAAGTTAACGTCAAATTAGCCACGTATCCAAAGACTTTCTAAAGTATTGGCATCGAATAATCGAGCTTCAATATATTACGTGTAATATAGATTGAAGGGAATAGAATCGTTAGAGCGAGCTTTCTATTAATTTATTATTTGAGACACGACATTTGTGGCAAAACAGCGTCCGTCGGGAATTGTACTTGCGTCAGAACACGTAGGCTCTGATCGTTTACGATATCTAAAGAAATTGCCCGATTAAAGCGCCAATTCCTCGCCTTGATCAATATATATATATAAGACAATATAATTCGTTACATCGGAAATCGTTAATTTCTTTCTTGAATAGGCATATTAATCCGGCATATTTATGCTGCTGAAATTAAGAAATTCAAATAATGAGCGAAATTATTGGATTTAAAAATACGAAATCTTTATTGTTGCGTACTTGTTGCCGCGAGTGCTAAGAGAAAAGAAAGAAGAAAAAAACAAAATAGAAAAAGTGAAAGACGAGGAATCATAGTAATATGAGTTATTATATAGTGATATAGTCTAGGTGTAGGAAATATCTTGACATAATAAAATCATGGAGGTCGGGGCTATTAGGAAAAGAATTTTTGGCCAGTTCCATTTAATAATAGCCTTGGAGCAGGTTATAATATGAAAAATAGATCGCTTCTTCTTAGTTCTCATGATAATATATCTTTTCGAAAGTGTATGGATGTCTACTTCCCCGTATATTTTACTATCCTGCATAAAACTTTACAGCGTCCCTTCTTTCCAGGTATAAATTCAATTTAATCGATCGTGGAACAATTGCATTTTCTCTAAAATGCCGATGGTGTGGTGGTACGACGGCGTGAAGAAACTAAACTCGGCAAAATCAAATGTCTTCTTATTCATCGGCAGTAAAGATCTTAGCCACGAACGGACTCACCACCCGTTCGATAATCCGCGGCTCTCAAAGCCCCGAGTGCCCCCGAGAGTGCAGGGAGCGATTGTCAAAGATCTCTCTCTCTCTCTCTCTCTCTCTCTCTCTCTC